ATTGTAGACTTGTCTGCTCAGACAAACTGCACCTTTTGGTTCATCAACCGCATCGATACAGGAATCATCTCCCAAGTCGGCTTGTTTGATATCTCTTGACCGACCAAAAAGACTCAATCGGCAAGGTCAACTGAAATCGAATGTGCTATGTAGACCTGAGATTATAGTTAAACAATAGGCGGCGAATTAGATAATCAAAAGAATAAACAATTCTCCAATGGGCAAGTCTCGAAAACCTACTCAAACCGAAAAGATGAACAACCACCCCATCAAGATGCATAAATCTAGGGCATGCAAACTGTAGACTTGAATCGTGAAATTGATAGCTTAGCATGCTTTCACCGGAATCGAAGGAGATTGGCATGGGGACAGTGTCAACAAGAATACGCCATTGCCTTCTAGTGGGGTCGTTCCTTGAATCTCTTCAGCACCTTCACTCAAAATGAAAGTGAGCTCAACAATTATGGCCAAGGGATGCCTTTATACCCAAAATTTCTTCACAGACAAGTCGACAGTAGCAACAAATGCACTATCTACACCTCGAATGACCTCATTCTCCAAATGTTGGAAGCTCTGCGCAGCAATTCTGAGACATAAAGGTGTCCTGGTAAGAACAAATAAGCCGTTTTGAAGGTGTAGGAGGATTATACCCTTGAGGTCGCTTATTGAGACTCCAAAAGTAGGGCAAAATCTGTGATTCATTTGAGAATACAGCGGCCTAGGGCAGTTTTCAGAAATATCCGCAAGGTCTTTGTCCATTCTTCGAGTTTTAAGGGCCCAAAAACTCATGACCGATGGGCAGTTAAGTAGATTTCGTTGCTCAGGAGCAAGTTGTGCGGCCGATGAAAGATTTTGTTGGGTGCCAGGCGTCTCGATAGGAGCATGGGGTTGTTATGGAGACGTCAACTTCGTATAAAAGTGTCTGACGAGGAGATTCCCAGATCGATCTGTTGACTCGCGTTGCACTGCAGCCGTTTGGCTTCGATACGACGCTCCGGTTGACACAGTCTACGAGGCATCCCCGCTCGTTTCACCGTCACTTTCACCCGAAACGACTGCGTCCACCTGAACGTCGTGTTGAAGCCGTCATTCTCTGAAGAGATCGACACACTTTTGTACAAAATGTAAGTCTGCACAAAAGCGCAACCGCAGGGGGTTCATCGAAACCCACTTTCGCTACGTACGGAAACGTACCAACGAGTTCACTCGACGCTGAACTGTCAGTCCCGAGTACTTGACAAAAGAGTCCGTTCAACCACGGCCAAGTTGGTGGCCAGTCAAAAAGCGGAGCTAGACAGTGGCGTAAGACGAATCGGCCAAGATGAAAGTCCATTTAAGGAGCACAGATAGATAGACCATACCAAGCGGGGTTGGGAGAAAGAGATGCTGCATTAGAAGGTGGGACAAAAGATAGGAGCGATGAGTGATGCCACAATGGTTGAACGGAAAATTGGTCTGTACTTACAATGGCGCCTCTCAGTGACGATGCCGGCGAAACGTTCGGGAATGTGCCAAGTCTGCGGACAAGTCAAGGACAGAGGACGCAGGACTGGGCTCATTCCATACAGTTTCCGTGGCGCTTCGAGCAAGCCGCGAAAACAATATGCAGCTAAAGGAGACTGTGACCAAACACCATCTCGGTCTCCACATCTAAGACCCATTCAAGGAGTTGACGTGTGTCTGGATGGTGCCGTGCGTGCTGATTGACGTCGCGTTTGTTGGGAAATGTGGCTGCAGCGACTCGTCCCAACGCGGCCTCATCGCATCGTTTAGCCGCGTTAGAGGAAATCACATTTCACGCATAAGACCTCTTGCAAACATGACTCATCCGCAATGTTTGCACACTTCGGCCAATCAAATCTGGACACTGCATCGAACCCAATATAGACCTATCAGATCGGGACATTTTGAACCAATCAAGAGCCAACACTCAGATAATGCAAGGATGAAAGTCCTCTGGGCCCAGGGGCCCGCCTGCATTTCGCGCCACATCTGCACGCCACGTTTGCGCGCCGCATTCGTTTGGCGATTCCGTCTGCCGCTCTTGTGTCACTGGTTTGCCCCGAGTTTCGCCCGTGTGAAATCCCCACGCTGCGACAACGTCATGTCTTCAACGTATAAGTTGTCTCCCTGGATTTCAAACGCCTACATCTTCAAGTGCTTATCTCCGAACTTGTCAGATCGGGACCCTTTGAAGCAATTGGAAGATGACGTTCAAATCACGCATCAATGCCGAGCAGAAAGAATTCTAGACATGGCGACGATCAGCTCTCGCCATCGCGCCCAACATTCACACGCCTCCGTCGTTTGCCAATAGCCTTCCCTCTTGTCCGTCAACGGCTTAGCTCAGGTCTGGCTCGTGGAAAGTCCCGACGCTAGTTTTATCTACAGTCTGGAGCATCTAAGTTCGACAACGCCGCATCAACCCAGCGGCTATCCTCCCGCATTCCAAACGTGTTTATCTAGACGTGGCGGCTTACCTCAGGGCCCGCCTCATTTGAGGCGATCAGCTCTCGCCATCGCGCCCAACATTCACACGCCTCCGTCGTTTGCCAATAGCTTTCCCTCTAGACCGTCAACGGTTTAGCTCAGGTCTGGCTCATGGAAAGTCCCGACGCTAGCTTTTTCTTCAGCCTGGAGCATGTCAGCGCGACAACGCCGCATCAACCCAGTGGCTATCCTCCTGCATTCCAAACGCGTTTATCTTGACGTGAATCTCAAAATGTATGTCATAATCGTGTTGCTCCTTCCCCCTTTGCTTCTGCGATGCTACAAGTCGGCTTGATCTCCGCACAAAGAGAGATACCGGGCCCAGCCAATGTTAAACTTCTGGGCTAAGTGATCTAACGACCGTTTAGTCGCGTCCGCGTGTACACGACAACCATTGCTCGGCAGAGGCAATGCGATTCAAATCGACGTCACTCATCCTCGTACCTCCGCAGCGTCCTCTTCGTTGACTACATAGTTTCAGCTAATTTTTGATTGTCCTCTCCGGCTCCTTTCACCTCCATTCTGTTCAATCTCATCACGAACACGCATAGAACCAATTAGCTTTGTATATCTTCTCATCCTTATACGATTTTAATATCACATTCTTCAGACTTATCTTTCCTTCAGGTACCGAGACATGCGCTGAAATATAATTTTTTCAATGTGGAGATTTGTAACAACAGGTCTACCCATCCTATGGCACTAGCCTGGTTGGGATGCCAGGCTGGGCACATGTCGCTATCGGACGCTAGGTTTAGTATCGTTGCGGACAAAGAAAGGAAGGTAATCATGAGTGGCCACTAAAACTGGCGAAGCCGAAACCAGTCGGGCTCAGCCACGAGCAAGAGTACGGACACTTTTGAGCGTTCATCATCATAAATTTGGACCGGGATAGCGCTCCCAGAAAACCAGCATGCTTGGCACCTAGATCTGGGTTCAGAGGGTTGGAAGTAGTTTTTCGCCTTCGGCAGCTTTAAAGTCTGAATCATCATTATCTCGGATTCCTGTGGTAGAATGGCTTCGATTGTGAGAATAGTCTTGGCGACGAGGGTCGTTTGCCCTCGTCATATCGCCAGTGGCTTCTTCTTGGCGCTTAGCAACCCTCAAGATTAGTTGCGTTCCGATCGGCAGTCGCCACATCTGACGCCTTCGTACGACAACGTCAATGGTCGTCTGGCAATGAGGGTTTCTGGTCCTCTGCTGCTCTGGGCTGGACGTGCTGGATGACGCATTGTCTAATTTTCTCAAAGCGATACGGTCCTCGCTTGTCCTACAGATTGATTACGTCCTCAGCTAGTTAGTCTCGCTCCTCCGGTTTGTGTTTTAAAAACTTATCCGAGTCGCGGATATGGGGGCTCGATCTTTCGAAAGTGGGTCATAGCATTGAGGGAATCGAACGGGGCGTCGTGACTTCTTGACATGAGTGGTTATTAGTAAATGAAGCTTGACTCTCACACTTCACTTTCATGATCTAATCCCGGATGGCATTCTTGTATGCCACGATGTTCGGATAGCTGGCCCTATCGGAGATAGAATTACGAAATGGATTGTCTAGAAAAGAATGAGTTACGAACAAGAGCGAGGTATTTAATAGGCATTGCGCGGAGTTTGCGTGCCCTCCAAGCTCTAGCTATCAATACAATGAGAAATCTGTTGGAATTGGTACAACTCAGGAACCGGATCCTGATTAGTGCTACTATCTATAATCAATTGAAGCACATTGAGTTTGAGGTTATCTAGACTTGCGGATTTTTCCGCGAAATGGCGCAAATTGATGGGAGCTCGTTTTCCCTTGAAGGATACGACTGGCTCTCTCATGGTTTGAAGGTGCTGATGATACGAGAGTGAAAGTTGGCGAAAAATTCAAGCATTCCCTTCAGTTCACTAACAGCGTAAAAGAAACCAGTCAACAATTATTGCCTGAATGGATAACCGGCAGTCCCATTGTCAACACATGTAGAGTAGAAATGAGTCGAGCACAGGAAAAATTCTTCATCGATTTAAGTGTTAAGAATAGAACCAAAACATTAAAATGGACTTCAAAATTGGAAATATTTGTTCAGGCTGGGTCTGAGTATGCATTGTAAGGCAAAAATTGCGATAAGTATTACATTCGAATAAGAAAGACTCCATAAAACTGGCAAAGGAGGTCAATATAAATGTCAGCTATAAAAGATGTATCCATCCTATTCAGTTTAAGGTGATGTTGGATTACAAATTGTATTTGAGTAGGTCTCATGTTTCAATTGAATGTCACGTAGCCTTGCTTCTCAAAAGCTATTCTCAACCGGAGTGTGCTGCAGTTTCAAACCCGCCCAAGTCTCATCAGCACTCCGAGTAGGACTCGAAACCGGATAGTCCAGGGTACAGCCCAGCTAAGGGTAGCGATGAGACCTGGGCGAGGTCGAAAGTTCAGTCTACTCTGGAAGAGAATACCCTTTAGGAAGCAAGGCTGCGTAAAATTCAATGGAAACTTGACGTCTACTCAACTGGTTGTGGGAAAATTGAACTACCAGTTCTTCATCACTTTAAACCAAATAGGGTGAATACATCTTATAACTATGATCTATTGGTCGCCTCTAAACCTATTTACAAACGAAAATATTATTTTTATATTGAATTTTTTTGCCAAACACACATATATATGTATATATATTGACGATTTCAACATTAATTTGTAAGAGACGACATTAAGCTAAAGTACACCTAACAAATAAAGTTATGCTCAGGTAAAAAGTCAGTTTTGAGAGAAGTGGTAGCAGAATTTCGCAACTGCTGATTGCACAGGCCTGGAGAAATTTCCAGTCGCTAAGTGGATAGAGCAAGCATAGAAAAAGAACGACCGATTGTGTAGGTAGTAAGTTTGCTTAAATTGACGGTATAAGATGACCAAAGCTAGCGTCTTTTAGGGTACAATTGTACTAAAATGTTGTCATGTTAAAGGTTGGCTGAAGGTTCGTTAACTGAGCATGTCACCATCATAGATCGATATTTGAGCATGTACCATTTGCAGTTGTCATGACCAGTGTAGGAAGGTGGCAAAGAGCATGAAGAAGCACTGCGTACTGACAGCCGAGAGTCCGTTTGGCCTTCGAAGGCGGTAGCCAAAATGAGGAAAAAAAAGACGAAATCGCGAGGCAAATCAGTAATTTGTCACGAAACTTGCTGACATGAACTGGGGCGTGTCTACTTTGTCGCAATGCTGGGGGGCCGTCAAAAGACAAGCGGTATTTTGAACATTCAAGACAATGGAAATTACGACCTTCCAAATAGCCAGTTAGGTTCATCGAGCGCATGTCAGCCGTCACTCATCTCTTGCATCAACCGTCACCAGCGTGAAAACTGAGCTAGACCATTCTGGCATTGCAGACAACATCGTTTCCATTTTTCACCTCCTAAACAACTTAACCCCATAAAGGGTGGTATCATAGGACTAGGAGGTAAGTTTTCTGAATTTCATGTAACCAAATTGAAAATCTGGAGTGAGTGAATATATACACATATATAAAATTGATACTATAAAATTGATATAAATTATAAATACTGTAAAATATATAATACCATAAATATGTATAAAAGTATAATAATTAATGTAATCCTGTACTTATTTTACATAATATCATTAGTGTAATTAGTATATGTGTATAATGAGTATACTAATATTATAAAAATATTTGATATTTTAACGAGTTATGCTCAAGTAGTATTGTATGCTTTAACGTCAAACGTCAGTTTCAGTGAGCCTACGCCTTATCGTGCCAGAAATATAAACAGAAGACTCAACATCTGATCCTCTGTCGAAACACAGCATGAAACTCAACACTAAATAGGCAATAGTCAATACTAAAAGTGAGATAGAAAACGCGCCGCGTCGATAATCGGTTGAGTGTTTTACGACAGAAATGGTGGAAAAAACTGGTTTAGTTGCCGGAAAATGCAGCGATTTTCACACAGCCGGCATGGAGATTCGACCTACCCTCGCCAAACTTGCTACCGATTCACAGACTGAAGGAGATCAACCACGGTGACTAGAAGATAGGATTGAAAAGCAGGCCAAAGTCCGGCTTTCCGAGTCGCCACAGAGACAGGTCATTGTGGGGAAACAGACTCGAGTCGATTTTGCCCCATGGACGAGGTAGAAGCGCAAATGTGTTGTCCGTTCAAGCTTAAAATGGTCAAGACTACGGCAAAAAGAAGTTTCTGAATGCATTGCTGCCTCATCAGAATGAAAGCAAAACAAATGACAACCGTCGCCTTGGCTAACAATAAATTCATTCTAGGCAAGAATGTCAAATGAGTAAAATTGCATCATTGAATCGTTCCAGGAGTCTATCCTCCAAAAGGCACTCGAGCCTCATCCGAGCAAGTCAGCTGAGCCACTCAAGGCGTCGGCTTCAATGCGGTTCTTGCGAAGATGACACTCGGCAAAATCAAAAGCCCAAAAGAAGCAGCGCTTTCAAGGTAACTATCAGCGAAGCCCGACCTTATGAGAGCACAAAGAAAAGCCTATTTTAGCCAAATAAAGCAGATTGAAAGAGCCGATCGAGGCACATGCGCGCAAAAAGGCTATAAAATGGGCTTTGAGAACGCCAACTAGTCGAAAACCGAAAATAAACCAATCTTCCTTCACTCGGACGCAAAAGCACTTATCGCAATCA